TTTTTTTTTTTTTTTAATAAAAAACGTTGAACTTAATTTTAAAAAATTTCTTTTTTGCTATGCGATTATAGCTTTCGAAAAAGAATAAATAAAATTTGTTGCAATTTCTAATAAAAAAACGCCAATATACTGTTTTATACACGTTATCATTGTAAACCTCGTAAAAATGGGTAGGCAAAAAACAAACCGTTAACTGGGAAATTAAAAAAAAAAAAAATAATAAATAAATAAAGAAAATAAAAAGTTTATATAGTTGCGTACTGCAACGCGTGGAGCGTGATTTACGCAAAACCCAACCCAACATGTGATGTATACAATATACACACGCGCAAATCCCATAATGTTCATACATCATGCGGCATCGGGGATTTTTTGTCCCTGGCTCGCAACTACGCCACGATTTATGCGACTCGTCGAATATTGTTTACCTACCCGCGCCCACACTTTTCCCAACTCCCGATCTCATTTCCTATACCTTCCTTCGTTCCGCTACCGCGTGAAAATCGGTACGTGCGCTCGACACCCGTAAATCATAATTAAACGCCGAAAGACGATGTGACTCGTGGCGAATACCAAGTAAAAGAACCGAGAATTTCTGATGTGACATACACACACGCGCGATCGCGGGGATATTGCTCCAATGCACCCACATGTGTACAATAGTAGCGGCCTCTACGGTGATTTATCCCTTTTGTTCGACGCTGTACATGGAAAACGCGAACCGGCGCTTTTCCCCCCCGCGAGCGTAATAACACACGGTGAGCAGCTTACCCTGTTATCGGGGAATTATAATAAGCCGGCTCCTATATATCCCACGCGCGCAGATACCAGTCGGGATTATTGTTGCGAAATCGGTGGCGCTGACTTCATATACATCCAAGAGTTTTACGACTAATAGCAATTAATCCAGTGCACCACAAATCTTCTCTATGAGCCCGATCGTCCGTCGTTACGATAATTTTGGATCGGTAATCGAGAACGAGCCGATTGTTGATGTTTCGATCTCAGCGACAACGGCTTATATACCATTGTACGAGTTCAGCCTTCCGTTTGGCAAGCTTATAATATGTTACATACCGTGATGGTCTACCGCGTGAAAATTCCCGTTTCCGCGATCCAGATGATTGGGCACACATCCGTTGATCGGATATCCAGTATATCGTCGAAAATTAATATTCGCGCGAGTTGTAAACCAGAGTGCGTCTCTTTGGGAAAAAAAAAAAAAAAAAAAAAAAAAAAAAAACGGAATAATACATGTTATATTTTAAATTAAAACTGCTTTTTTTATACTACTCGATGGTATTTCAGTGTGTATATGTATGTTACGTAATAGTTGTGTGAATGATATTGTAAGGTATAATAATGTGCGTATGTGTGATGGAATTCGTGATGTATAGATTAGCCGAACGTGCACGTATGTTATAATTACCACGATATTTATTCAATCGTTGTTTCCGATCGCGGAAGTAAAAAATAATGTAGTTCAAAGTGAGTTACGCAAAAAAAAGCAAGTACAATGGGCCGCGACCGAAATGTCGATACGTCGTTAAATTCGAAAGTGTAAAAAGAGCTATAATACTCGATGGAAACGCAATTATTGTCTGTCTTAAAACAGTAAGCCAAGGTATCACGATATCCGCAGCTAAAAAAAAAAAAAAACATTTTTTTTCCTTTTTTTGTTTTTTGAGATACGAAAAGCGAGTAGCTTTGGAGTTTGGAAATCAGCGCAATTGCTCTCTATAGTGACGGCGAGAGTCAAAAAAAAAGTAGGGCATCGACGAGAGATACGCTTGTGTGAGGCAAAGAAAATCTAATAGTTTAGTGTACACGCGTGCGAATGAGTCATTTCGCGTTACGAGGTAAGTTTTAAATTGTACATACATGCGCCGCGGGACATATGTACAAACGATGGGTACGTATCTTGAATAGTCTTTCTTGGATTTTTTTCCCATTTTACTATAGGACTTTAGTTTTAATTCATTACAAATTCGTGTTCATACGTTATTTAATAAGATGTAATGGCGATTCCGAAAAATATTTTTTATTTTGTTTACAGTTTTTTTACATTACGTAATTTTAATGAAAAAAGAGTGGTCTTTGAAGGAAAAAAAAAAAAAAAAAACACTAGGTGCAGCAGTAGTGCACGCTCGTAAAGAAGTAATACACATCGTTGCGGTCAAAGTAAGTGCAGCATGTATACAAATTAAAAAATAAAATATGTATTATCATTCGCGCGAAAAAGTGACTGGGCAATAAGACGATCGTCAAAGAATGCGATAAAAATAAAAACAAGTGCTTAAAAATTTTAAATGAGAATTTTTTTTAATGAAAAATATAAAGGAAATTTTAGCTCGATATAATATCGTTAACGTTATACCCATATGGGACGTAATAATGGATAATGTCATCGTCAAAATCTGCGATATAAAAATTTAGACCCAAAATTCCAATTTGAAATGTTTATTGGTGTACACACTAGTTTGGAATTTCATCAACATGTACCTACAATAGATTCTTGGGGAAATTTGTGAATATAAGGATCTGCTAGTACATTAAAATTTATGATGAAATGTTGAAAGAGTTTTTTTTTCCCTCGAAATGATTTACAAGCAAGTCATCTTTAAAGTTAAAAAAAAAAAGCTATAATGTATTTAATACAACATAAATATTTTAAAAATATTAACGACGTACGAATGCTGGAAAACGGACATCACTATTAAACGTGACTCATCTTTCTTACCGATGTTCAAACAATAGATAATTTTGTATTTAATACAAGCGAGATTTTTTTTTTTTTTTTTATTAAATTCTAGTCTCTGTTTCAACGTACGAATGGCGGTGAATAAAAAATAATAATAAATAAAAATTGGACCTAGAGTCCTTTAGTAACTGTTTCCTGTGTCGCGCAAAATCAACTCTAATCAAGATAAGCTTTGTTTTCGTTACATGGAAAAATAAAGGAAAAATCAACCAAATTACTGTGTAACTATTATGTAACCTTTGCTACTCAAATTCCCGACGCTATAAGGAGGTTCTTTTGGTGCATACAACAGTGATTTCAAAAATTTATCACTCATCGTTTTAATACCCAACAGGCTGCATTAACCCCAAGCATCAATATCGCGGAATACCGTGTGTTCCACTGACGCAACAAATTCTCATAATTATCACACAATTTTTTACGTAATTTTCCGACCAACGATTGCATGAAAAACGTTTGTACATACATGTTGGGGGGACTTTTATTGGACAAAACAGGATAATATATAGTCAACCGTCAAAGTAGACATAAGTTTTTCGCCTATTGTAACCTTTTGTGTTTAAAAAAAAATGAATGGATTTAATTAATAACAACATCAAACGAATAATTCGTTTATTTTTGGAAATGTTCCACATAGGTTTGTTTTTCTATTCCAGCATTTTTTTTTCTTCATACAATTTTTTTTTTAGGGAAGACGCTTTTTGGCGCTAAAAATAAAACGTAGATATTTAAATATAACATACTAATTACTTGCATATGAAAATAAAACATATCATACGAATGGCAATACAACAGTTTCAATGACAATGTCGATAACGATAAAATAATATCTAAAAGTGTGCCGTCATTAATATTAATAAGTAAATAAATAATATATAAGTATACAACATAGTCGAGACTATAAAAGATACATTCAATGATAACAAGTAAATGTTACATATATTGATAATAGTAACAATAATATTATCGGAATCACCTACATACTAACGTAAAATTTTACTTTTCCTCTTTGCATGAATAAAATACCTTGATTTATATGTCACTAATATTCGGAAATTTAGTATTTTATTGTTAAATAAAAACAGGCAAGTATATTATTATGTTCGAGTTGCTATATGATTTTTTGTTTCCTTCATGTATGAAAAAAATTTTTAAGTAAACATGTAGTAACAATAAATTTTAACGATTCCTCTATTATAACGATTTTAAAAGCATCTTACGATTGCCAATCTTTTTAATAAAAATTATTTAACGTTTAGAAGTATACCCTGAGAGTAACTATGTATTTAGAGGTGCCAGATTTTTTAATTGATGCCCAGTTGTCCTTTGGCATACGTTATGCTTTCGTTGTAGCGCTAATACATATTTATAGCATAATACAATATTCTATTAAAAAAAAGTATTAAGTTTGTGATTTATAGTAACTTAATACGTCGTTTGAAAAATAACTTGTAATTTAATTTTTGCCTTTTGTTGGGTATTTAAAATTAAATAACCGCGTTGAAACGAAGCCGAATACGTAGCGTAGAACTAAATCTTCAAAATGAATAAAATATAGATATAGCAATTTTTTTTCCATAACAAAATAATCCATCTCGTTGTACTTGTTACAGTTTTAACTTGCAAAAATAACGTAAACAGTATAACTATTGCAAATAAATTATCTGTGGAAAAATATTACCATAAGTGCTGTACATTAAATCATTTATAAGTGATATAAATAACTGTAAATAAAAAAAAAATGTCCGGCACTTTTACTTTACCAAACTCTCAACTGAAACGTAAAACTTTATAACAATGAATATCGGAGAGTGAGTCAATGTAAAGTTCTATGTTTTATTACATAATCATAGCTCAAGTTCTTTGTCAATTATATTTCATGACAAGACTGTTTCCATAGCTTTGTGTAAGCAAACTTAGAATCTAAGAAATCGGTTTTCTCAAAGAAGCATACAAATACGCGGAAGTAACAGTATCTCATAAAAAAATTTATAAAAGCACTAGCCGTTTGATCTCAAAATGAGAATAAATCAAACAAAATTTTTTCGTAAATCTATAAGCTAAAAAGCGTACATAGTTAGAATAATTCATTGCTAATAAAAAAGAGGTGATTTTTACGTACGGGGTATTACAAATTGTGTTTGATTGTAAGTAGAATAAAAACTAAGTGGGAATTATTTTTAAGGATACTTCCAATCACCGAACATTTGTGCAAAAATTATTGTGATCAAACACTTTGATTTAAGTCTTAATTGTTATTAAGTAGAAAAAATTGCACCTCATAGCAATTTTTTTTTTTTTTTTTTTTTTCTTCGTGCTTCTTTCATCAAAGGTACAAATTATTTATACAGTCTCTGGATATTCTTTTTTTTTTTCCACTGCATCTAGTTTTTGTCACTTTTTTATTTTTTAAACAATCGGAATTCCTAAAATTGAATTCATCTGCAGGCGTGTCACGTATTTCCGTGTCTCTTAAGTACTTTAATAATTAACATGATATTAGGTTCCTATCGTTCGCTTCGTGCAAAAAGTCTGCACGAAATATTTGTCATGAAAAAAAGATAAGGGAAGAAATTACGTTATTCGTACAAATATCGTCGTTTAACAGGTAACATAAGATGTGGTCGTAAAAATTGCTGACGAGTTTTTAATTGAGCGTTTCACAGCTCTTTCTTGTATATTTCGATCAACTAGAATATTGTCATTAATTTAAGACACACTCTCGTATCTGAATATTAAAATGTGTACAAAACCCGTCGCTCACATGACTCATTGATCAACAGTTTATTGCTTGCTCCTATACCTATAAACGTATTGTACGATAATTATTTGTATTTACTCAGGCTCTGCACGAATCCAAATCTAGTAAGCGGTTTTCCAACAAAACGAAAACTGCCCCCCCCTTATTTTTAAAAAATTGATAAAATTCACCTGTTTAAGTACTTTTATAGTGTTACAAACGAGAAATAAATTATTTATAAAAACTTCGTTGTAAGAATAAATAATGATAATATTATAGTTTGTAATAGTGGTAATAATAACGTAAGAAGGAAACGAAGTATAATTGAAATTTCTCGATTAGATGATAAAGCTAATTCTCTAAGTGTGTTCGATTGCACAGTACCCCATTATTTGTTTTACTTATTTCATTACATTTTAGGAAAATTGCACCAATGAACGAGCATAGTTCAAGTTCAGGGATATATATATATATATATTAAGAGCGTTTGTTTAACCTTTCATCAACTTTCAGTCCGGAAAAGTCTCAAAGCTCGCAAGTAATTGACGAAACTATAAATTCAGGTTTCACGAGAGGGAGATGTGTAAGTACAATTTTGGATGCAACAACCCTCTTTACTCTCACGCACCGCCAAAGTACCCCAAACCATCGTAGAAAATTTTCTTATGTACTATTCTAATTTGTGAAAAATGTTTCGAAAATGGTGTCAATAAACAAAAAAAAACAAAAAAATAATGCAAGGGAAAAACATACGTCACATCATTCACAATCCTGGATTCAAAAGTTTACCAGCAGCATCAGCAGAAACAACAGCATCATCACCATCAGCAATCACAACACTACTTGTCATCGTCTTTTTTTATACTTTTTTTTTTTTCAATTTTAATTACTATATCACACTAGAAATAATTACACCTCGGATCACTCACTGTAGTGCAGCCTCGCGGGTCACGCAGAGCGCGTCGTCGTCAAGCCAAACGCCATGCTCCTCAACTTGCATCTCTCTTTGTTATCATTGTATTTTTTTTTCCCTGTAGCACTTGGGCAACAATGAGAGTGAACAAACTCAAGTCCGCGTCTTGGCGATGAGCCGCTTGATCAGGGCGGCCTTACGCTCGAGCGCGCCCCAACATCACGAGGGCTTGTTCTTGCTTTTGCGAAAAGCCGGGAACAATTTCCTGCGCCGGCGTTTCAGCTCGTCGTTGTCCGCGCTGGTCGAGTTCGAATCCGTGGACAGGGTCTCCTCGTCCATGAGGGCCGGCAGCTCGCGCACGGGTTTCTTCAGAGGCCCAAGTCGAGCCACCGTTGATGCTTCGAGGGAGTTTTCCGAGTAGGAGCTCTTGAAGCCCGAGATCGTGGCACCGCTCGGTTCGAGCGTCAAGTTCGCGTCCTGGCTGTAAGACCTGACCATGTTGCCGGTGAGTAGCTTCTCGTCGAAGCCCATCGACCTGGCGGGCGCTATCGCAACAGCAGTAGATGCCCCGAAGCCAACGCTGCTTGGGGGGTTTTCCTCGGGACTGTTGTCGCCGAGGGTGAAGTGGACCGCCTCTGGGGGTGTCTCCTTGCCACCGGTCTCGCTGCTCGAGGAGTCCGGCGGGTTCGACGATTCCTTCCAGATCAGACTCTCCGACAGACCTGTGGACATCGAGATACACGTCTGCTTGTTAGAAGCTGTCGGTCGTCTCGCGACGCTCGTGCGAAATCGTGGCTTTGGGTGCTGGTTTTCAGACTCCGCGCGACTTTGTGAAAAGCAGGGTTTAGTTTGTTTGTTCACTCCAACACTATTACGTACAAATTACTTACAAAAGGTATTTTCGTTCTAATACGCTGGAAGTAGGATTAAATTTTTTTTTTTTTTTCACAATTATTTGAATTTTCTATCTTATCACATTTCAAATTAATTGGGGAGACATGAAAGGATGGTTAAGATAAATTGAAAATCAATGGCACGGCAAAAACTATAAAAGCGGACATGCAAAAAAACGTCACTAATGTTAAATATTTTTCGAGTATCTACTGAAACTTTTTGAGGAAAGTCTCTACGAAATACATGCAATACAAAATACACATTGTCTACGTGGATAACAGTGGGATTAAAAACAACCATCTAATATTCAAATGAACACGTGCTTATCACTATCTAATACTCGTTTTAATTGGGATATGAAGAAAAATTAATGGCGCTAAAAAGCACTAATCATCTACCTCGCGGCCGTGAGATTCTGAAAGTAGGTAGTGTTAATGTACAAAATCAACTTTTTTTCTCAAGTACGTGTTTTTTTTTATTTTTAAAATTAATTTATTAATTTTTAACTGGAATAAATGTATATATGTACATTATTAATAAAACTTAGCATGTACTTGCTTAAAGAGGGCATACTATATGTATATACTATGTACGGCTTATGAAAACATAATCATTTACATCTTACAATTGTTATGTACTTTGTAATAATAACGCATCTCGCTAGTACGTGTAAAGATCCCAAAATATTGCCTATCACAATCTTGAACAGTCTACTTAAAACTTGGCTAAACAACACTGCTTTTTATTTTTTATGTCGTTGTTACTCATTTTGTTTACGTATCGTTACATATATACGACAAAATGAATTTTTAAACGAGTTCATCAGTATTATTACGTGTATATTGTATACTGGCATCCAAAGTTGTGACCCAAATGACATTTTTTTATGGCAAAAAGTAATTGTAAAAAGTTGTGTAAAAGTGGCAAGTAATATAAGTACGATCATGTGTATCTGCACTTTGTAATAATGTAAATTAAACTTGAAAATGACATATTTCGCAATTATGTTGATGTTGTATTATAAACCAAGTTATTAATCACGTAGTTAATTTTAAATATAAATTCAACTTTCTTTACAAGTCATACATCAAAAGTTTATTATGTCAAATCTCTTTGTTTTACCATAGTAATCTCATTCAAAATAAAATAAAAATGCACAAATTAAGGCACTTGTTAACGACTTGTTGAAGTCTTCGTTTGTTCGTTATTATTTTGTTTGTACTATGTATGATTAAGTTATAGATATACATCTTATTTATCTTAATCACTGATTTTAAGTATATAAAAAAATTAAAGCTTGAGGAATCATCGATGTCAGTCACGACAGTAACAAACACAAACATATATGTACAATATGTGTGGCATGTATGTATTTGTAAAGTCATAACTGCAAGTGTATATGTACAAATTAATAAGTAATATTCGCGCATTAAAGACTTTTCATGCAGAGTGTATATTCTCTTTATCATTATTTAAATGTAAAATTGTTAATCCAGTAAAGACAATTCCTTCTTCAAAGACAAAAATTGAATTCAATCAGGACTTTACATAACACATTTGATCATCTCTCATAACGAAATAATTTGTTTGTAAAATAGCCCAAGTTATAATAATTGTCTTGAAAAAAGAAAAAAGTGACAATGTCCATGTTATATGTATGGGTGTTTCATCTCGAGCACGAATACAACCACAATTCGATAAATCAAATAGATTTACTTAATACTACCTTGTGTTGGAAATTTTGTCACTAAAAAAATTTGTCGTTGTGCGATGAACCAAAAACCCATAACAGTGCAAAAAAAGCAGTGGCTTCACCAGAGGATAGGTGGAGAGGAGATACAAAGTAAGTCGAGCAAAAAATCAGTCAATTGGAGTTGTCATGGTTGTCCGATTCTGGCTTACCTGCAGCACCCGAAATAGACGGCGTATAAATTGAGCTCACATCGTCGTCTAAATCATCTTGACTACTATGACGTCCTGTAATCAAATAGTTATTTGCATTAAAAGTTTGTCAGTTGTGTCGACACACAAAAATGAAAAAGTGCAAAACGCACCTCTAAGTCCAAGACTTCGACCATTTGGCGCTCCTCTGTACAAAATATTTTCCAAATAAGGAATTCCATTGTTATTTATAATATTAAAACCACAAAGAAGTTCAATTTGTTTCCAGCGATGCACTCGCTCTTGTAATTCTGCGGTTACTTCGTTTAATGCTGTTCTGGCTTCTAAAATACTTTTATCAACTTCATCGATTGATTTCCCATGCGTGGAAACAAAGGCACCAACTAAACTTGATCTTTTTTTTCTTAATTTTTCACACTAAAACGAACGTTCTTGTAAGTAAAAAAATTTTTTCATTAGAATGAGAGATATCATTTAATAGTAACTTACAGCTTCTCGAGCACTTTGTAACTGCTTCTCGGCGCTTATTTTCTTTTTCATGTAAGACTTATTTTCTATTTCATGAGTTAGTTGCAACCAGTGTTGCAGACCTACAGGAGGAGACCAACAGCGATCCTCGAGTTCTCCTTCCGCTCTCTGCAACTCTAGCTTTAACATCTTTCAAAAAGAAAAAAAAAAAATTTTGTAACACAAATTTATCGACTCTTAATAATAATGGAGATATCAAAACACGACTCACTTCAATTTCTGCCTTTAATTGAGAAACCTCGAGGTCAGATGAAGACGTGTGTAAAGCCATACTTTCATCTTTTAAGCGTTTTTCTAAATTTTGCTTTTCCGTAATAGCACTCTCTTGCTCCGTTTTCACAATTTCAAACTCTTTCTGCAAACTTTTAAGTTCAAGTTCAGCCTTGTGTAGACTCTCCATGTCCTTCATCATTCTATGCAGGTCCTTTTGAGAGCTCTTCTTTTGCTGATAAGCATACCAACACCCAACAAGTGCTCCAAACAACAAAGTAATTAAAACTAGATCTTTCAAACTATGTCCAGTATCTAAATTAAAAATTCACTGTAAGAATAATAATAGGATTTGAAATAAAAGAAAAATGCACGAAAAATTACCTTTTGGAGGTCCAAAAAGGACAACATCCATTGCCTTTAGGGCAATTTTTTGTTTATGAATTGGATCTTTGATTCCCAATACATTGCTGAGGTAATGCATATTATTTACAGCCAGCCTAAAAATAACAGAAATACCAAGACATGAATAGAAGTTTAAAAAATAACACAACAAAAAATTTTTGTCAATAAAGTTTGTTGAATTGATGTACCTTGGAAGTGTAGATCCCGTAACTCTGTGTTGAATAAAAGTAGGAACATACTGAGGAAGCTCCACATTACTGCTTAACCATTCTGTTGTTTGTTCTATGGTCCAATTGTGTACCTACTCATTAAAATGCAGCTCATTATGAAGGTACTCTTATGGAACTATATCTAGTTAAATTAGAAATTAAGTACCTCAGATCGTAGCCAAGCTTCCCAAAGTTCTCTAACGCTAATGTGCATATCATCATTGTGATGAAACACCCTTTGTCTCCTTTCATACCCAGCTTCATATTGCAACTCTTCTCTTAGAAACTTTGGGAAACAATTAAGATTAGAACAATTTGATGTAAGACTATTTTTTGGTAAGTATCAAATGCACGATTCTCACATCATCAGACTCTGACAGATCAATGTTTCCATTGGCATCATCATCCAACTGACTGTGAAGCGACTTGATAGCCTCTAAGCCTAGCCTGTCATTGGAAGCCATAGTAATGCATGCCAAGTCATCATTACAAGAATCTGTTCCTACAATTTGAAAAGCATCATTAGCATTATTAGCCAAATTATCTTTGTTAGCAAAAATTGCTGAAAAATAACTATTCTTTGGATCATAGAGTTATGCCTTTTGTTTATGAAATAAGTATTTCTTTCGTGAAAATTTGTGTCATTAGCTTGGTATTTGAAGAGTATGTAACAAGTGCTGGGAAAAAGTCAGCCTTTATTTAAAAAATGGTTGAAATTACTGTAGAATTAGAAGTGTTGTTAAAAGAATCACACATGACGTTATGCAAACGGTGATTTATCATTCTGTCATTAATATGTAACAGTCTGTAAATTACATGCATACATGTATAGAGAAGCAAGGCAGACATTTTTTTGTGCGTTTTGTGATTTTGGCCAGAAAGTGAGAAAGCACACACAGGGAGGTACAAAGTGAGAACACAGTACAGTACTGCACAGCAGCTAAATACAAGTACACCCCATTTTTAAATTGAGTTGAACATGTTGGCAAATGTCTGACACAGATCTTGAAAGAGTACATTTACCAGTGGATTTAGCTCAATTCACAAATAGAAAGGCACCTGTGTTTTGTACCTCCCTGCAACTGTGTTATCAAGTCAAATACAACGTGCGTGTGTGTATGTGTACATGTGCACGCACTGACACTCTCTTTCTCCTTGCACCAAAATAAATTTTTTGAACTTGCACAAATCAGCTGCTTTGCACTTAACGAGGCTCCAAAAGGTGAACAACAATAACCACTAAAAATTGAACGCACTGAACGAAAAAATAAACCTGAAGCAACAAACACCACGTTCCAACAGATGCGTACCTTCGTGAGCAACGGCCTTGGCAAGGCTTTGGCTGAGACTAGCTGTGAAGGACGCGCCCGTCTTGGTCGGGGTCACACCGCCAGGGCCAATGGAGCGAGCCGCGTGATAGGCACTACCGCCGGACGAGGCAGACGCGGAGTCGAGGGCGCCGCCCCCGGCTATAACGCCGTCGTGTCGCCAGCAGATCAGCTGCAGCAAGAGCTGGAGCACCACGGCACTGGGTCGCATTTTGGGTTAAGAAGAAGGTCGCCGACGGCGACGGCGACGACGACGACGACGACTTATCGTGACGGCCTCCCCGGCCAGCCAGGGTGCCCCCACTGATGTTTCTTCTTCTGTTTTTGTCCTGGTGCTGTTGCTGCTGCTGTCGATGATCTACTCCCGTCCTCCTCAAGGATGTGCCGCAGCTCTCAGTCAATTTTTATCATAACTTGTTCGCAGAAAAAAAAGATCTTATTATTATTTCGTTCCACTCTCTCGTATATGTGTACACTCTAACTATTATCCTGACGTATGGGCAGTATTAACGTCGGTGATATATATACAGTGCTACAATGCATACGTAAATGTACACGGGAAAATAAGCAAAAAAAAAGGAAATAAAGAAATCAAACATGAGAATATAAGAACGAGGAAAAGAGACACAGAAGGAAGAAAGAGAGAGAGAGAGAGTAGAGAGAGAGATATAAAGAGCGGCGGCGCGATAACTCTTGGAAAATTTCGCGGACACAAAAACAGTTCTAATAATAAAATGTGCCGTCGGATGTGCCGCAAAGTGGAGTAAGTAATGTATTTCACCGAGATCGAGAAGAAGCAGTACCTATATAAGTAGAAGGAGGAGAGAGATCGCACAATAATCGAGATTAATAAAGAGACAGAGAGAAGGAGATGGAGTGGAAAAGAGCGCGCAAGCAAGAGGAGGAGCTTGTACATAGTGTGAGAACAGAACTGAGAAGCGCGGAACGGATTAATCGAAAAGGAATATAAGAGAGCTTTGTACGTTTGTTGTACTTATATGTGCGCGCGTAGTACACGCACGGGTATGTTCATATTGCCATATTATATACATATGCATCAGCATAACAACAAACATTTCGTGCACTGCAGCAAAACGACTTGTTGGGTTGTAATTAATTAGGTGTTTGGGGGTTTGCGGGATGAGGAGGCAAGGATGATGAAAAAAAAGAAGATCCGAATTGCAAAAATGTGCATGAAAAACTCTCACCTCTTCTGTTCCGTGCTCCTCACACTCGTTAAATTAAAAAGCTCTGATGTCAAGGTTATCGTCTTTTCCCCCTCTCTCTCTCTCTCTTTTCTTCTGCTCCGACGACTACTCCGAGTTTTACAGCAGACAGCTCTCTCTCTTTCAGAGCATTGATTTGCACGTGAGAGCGTCAGATGCTTTTTTGTAGTATAATGTAGTTCTTTGATCTTTTTATCTACAAGTGGTATAGTTGCAACCTGTCTATGTAATAGCCGATAGTTAACCTGGAGAGCGCGTTTAATCAAAGTTCTCGGTTATACCATTCCGCCGTTCCGGTGTTATTGGGGTTATACCATTCTACCGTTCCTGTGTTACAGGGTTTGCGGGTTATACCACTCCGCCGTTCCTACATTATTGGGGTAATCAATCCATTCCAACGTTCCTGTGTTATAGGGTTTGTGGATTATCCCATTCTGCCGTTCCCGTTTTTATTGGGTTATACCATTCCACCGTTCCTGTATTATTGGGTCATTTGGGGTTCAACCATTCCGACGTTCCTGTCTTATAATACCATCCCAACGTTCCTGTTCAAATCAGTCGACATACCTACGTGTACGGGACACTCTGCGCTACCATCAGCTGATGCCTGATGTTCTGCAAAGTGCAGAGATAGTAGAAAAAAGAAGGCCAGAAAGTGTCAACTGAACGAGTAAATACAACAGTCAGCAATAGCACTTGTTAAAACCGCTAACAAGCGCACGTGTGCATACTGCGAACCGGTACTTTGAGTAACAGTGACGGATTGTTAATATTGTTTGTAAATAAATAATACCCTGTGTATATTCGTATGTAGTTTTATAGCTAAATGAAACGCTGATTCATTATTTTTCTATTTATAAACTTGGTGATAAAAACACAAGCAGGGATTATGAAGCACAACCACATGTCATAGGACAGTTACGATCACGTGCAATAGGTTATTGTTACCACAACGATTCATGAACGTTTCGTTTCTATTCATGTTGTAAAATAGCATTTTCGTATTTTCATGTTATTGTACTCACAGGAGTTTGTCAAAGTAAGGAAAGACTTATCCAAAATTAAAGATGAGTTCTAACAGAGGATTCCGTCCCACGCCTATTCACTTGGATGCGACAAAACTGCAATTTCAATTTTTAACGGAACAAGACATTTTAAATTTAAGTGTAAAAGAAGTAACAGTACTTGAATCTTTTGATGTCCTTGGTAATCCTGTATATGGTGGACCATATGATCCGGCGTTTGGTAAATCTTTTTTGACAACATTCATATGATACAATTAACTTATATTTGTCACTCATCAAATTTATATTTTAGGACCAGTGTCAGATAAGTCAACTCCATGCACAACATGTAGTAACAACATATCAAAGTGTAATGGACATTATGGTCACATAAAGTTACCCTTAGCCATAGTCAATCCACTTTTTCACATAATTTTACAAAAGATACTAAAGATGACATGTTTAAAGTGCTTTACATTACAAATATCTCAGATTGAAAAAGATCTTTTGTTTGCTGAAGCACAGCTCATCGAAGATGGCCACATAAAGTACATAGAGGGCTTGCGCCAAGAAGTCATGTCCTCATTACCAGAATCTAAAGGCAAAGGCATTGCGAACTTGGATGACGCGCTTGTATACACAGCACGAGATATAATAAAATGTTATGTAGATAGAGTTTATAGCCAAGCTAGAAATAAAATGGGACAAGTTTCTTTCAGCAGTGAAAACGATGATTCCCAAAAGTTTTGTTTCCAACGTCAAGTTTATATTGACAACGCTATAAAGGAGATCAAGCCAAAAGACAAGTGTATCAACTGTCACGTATCAAGACCAAAGATAACTGTTATAAAAAATCGAATAAAATCACGCCAAAGGATACGTTTGGACAATGATAATGATGAAGAAGTGGCTGAAGAGGGAAAAGAAAAAATGACCGAAATGATGCTAATGCCCGACGATTTAAAAAATATCATGCAAAGAATCTGGATCAGAGAAAAAAAAATACTTTCAATGATGATACCGTGCCTGAACTCGATAAATGTGGAACATCCTACAGACATATTTTTCCTCAGCGTCGTTCTCGTTGTGCCTCCACTGGTGAGACCGGTCAACATGATGAACGGTCAGATAATGGAAAATCCGCAGACGGAAGTGTACAAATCGATCCTCCGCAACTGCGTCGTCCTACGCAACGTCGTGCAAGCCGTGAAGACCGGAGACACCAGCCTGATCCCCGATTCCGGCAAACTGCTGATCCGAGACATGCGTGGCGCTACTCTCGTCGAAAAAATGTACAACGCGTGGGTAGAGCTGCAGAGCAGCTGCGATCACTTGATTGATCGGGATCTTAGCAAGAACTCCGACTCCGTCAACTGCCACGGCTTGCGCCAGATCGTGGAGAAAAAGGAGGGCGTCATTCGCATGAACATGATGGGCAAACGCGTCAACTTTGCCTGCCGCACGGTCATCACGCCTGACATGAACATCAATCTCGACGAGATTGGCATCCCCGAGGAGTTCGCGATGAAGCTCACCTACCCGGTCTACGTGACTCCCCACAACGCAGCCTGGCTCAGGCAGCTCGTACTCAACGGGCCGGAAAAGTATCCGGGCGCGGTGAAAATTCAGGGAATGGACGGCCGTACGTCCCACTTGTCCAAGGACAACTTTATCCAGCGCCAAGCCATGGCCAAGCGGCTCCTGACTCAGGACGAAAAAGCGACCAAATTCCTCGACGGCACCAAAGTCGTTTACCGCCACCTTATGAACGGTGACGTTCTTCTGCTTAATCGGCAGCCTACTTTGCACAAGCCCAGTATAATGGCGCACAAGGCCCGCATACTTAAGGGTGAGCGCACCCTGAGGTTGCACTACGCCAACTGCAAGTCGTACAACGCCGATTTTGACGGCGACGAAATGAACGCCCACTTTCCGCAAAACGAGCTCGCTCGTGCCGAGGCTTATCACATAGCCAGCGTGCCCTACCAGTACCTGGTCCCCAAAGACGGCACACCGCTCAGTGGCCTCATCCAGGATCACGTGATCTCGGGCGTAAAGCTCTCGTTGCGAGGCAACTTCTTCGTCCAGGAGGACTATCATCACTTTGTCTACTCGGCGCTGGCCATGCTCCCCGGGAACATTATTCTTCTGCCACCCGCCATCATCAAGCCCCTGCCAATGTGGTCCGGCAAGCAGATCATCTCAACAATCGTGATTAACATCATACCGAGGGGAAAGGCGAGGATCAACCTGACATCGTCGGCCAAGATTCACCACAGTCAGTGGCAGAAGTGGAGACCGCGTCCCTGGGCGTGTGGCGTTCCGTTCGCTAACCCGATGACAATGTCCGAAGCTGAGGTCATTTTTCGAGGTGGTGAGCTGCTCTGTGGCGTCCTCGACAAGAACCACTACGGCGCGACACCCTTTGGCCTCGTTCACTGCGTGTACGAGCTCTACGGCGGAGACGCCTCGTGCAAGTTGCTCAGCGCCTTTGGCAAAGTTTTCCAGTGCTATCTGCAAAGGATCGGCTTTACTCTAGGTATCGCCGATATTTTGGTGAAATATCGATCAGACAGGAAGCGCGCTGAGATCATCAACATGTGCCGACAAATCGGAGATAGCGTGCAAAAGTAATGTCGATTAATTTTTTTTTTTTTTTTTTTTTTTTTTTTTTTTTTTTTTTTTTTTTTTTTCTTTTCTTTTCTTTTCTTTTCAAAACTGCCCCACAATCTCGATAATTAACAAGCAAAAAATAATCTTACAGAGAAATATTGGAAGTGCCGGAAGACACGCCGATGGAAGAGGTGACCGCGAAATTTGAAGAAAATTACCAGAGCAACCCAAAGTTTCGCAAGCAGGTCGACGAGAAATACAAAAAAGCCTTGAGCGTCTACACCAACAACATCAACAAAGCCTGTTTGCCCCGTGGTCTGATCAAAGGCTTCCCAGAAAACAATCTCCAGCTCATGGTGCGATCAGGTGCCAAAGGTTCGTCCGTCAACACTTTGCAGATTTCGTGCTTGCTTGGGCAAATCGAGCTCGAGGGTAAGCGTCCCCCGCTCATGATAAGCGGCAAAAGTCTGCCCAGTTTTCCGGCCTACGATTCAAGCCCGAGAGCTGGTGGTTTCATCGATGGCCGATTCATGACCGGTATTCGACCTCAAGAGTACTTTTTCCATTGTATGGCTGGTCGCGAAGGTTTGATTGATACCGCTGTCAAAACCAGTAGATCGGGATACCTCCAGAGGTTCGTAAAAATAGATTTTCGATTACTTTGGGCAAATTTTGTTCGACTCTTAGAACTTTTTACTTTTGCGACAGGTGTCTTATTAAACATTTGGAAGGAGTGAAGGTCGAATATGACTCAACAGTCCGAGATCAAGACAACAATATAATTCAATTCATGTATGGTGAAGACGGTCTTGACATACTTAAATCCCAATTTCTCAATGACAAGCAAATGCAATTTTTATACGATAACAAGGATGCGGTTGTCGACGAAGATCTGCTCAAGCAAATGAAGCGCGACGATAACCCGAAAACGATAGAGAAAATCTTGAAAAAGATCAAAAAGTGGAAGAAACGTCATGGCGATGTGTCTTTAACAAAACATGCGAGTCCCTTCACACATTTTTCAGCTGCTCATTATGACCCCAACAATCCCAAAAACAAAGTCATGAATGAGGGTTCCGGTCGTTACAAAGCTACAATTTCGCTTATGCGCAAGTGGATACGGGCAGACGATGAGACTAAAAATTTGTACAAAGCTCAGGGTGCCAAGTGTCCCGAACCGATAAATTCGCGATTCTGGCAGCATCGTACATTTGGTGTGCTGTCCGAAAAGCTCGAAGATTTGCTCGAAAACTACGTAAAAAACAAGCCTGATATGAATAAAAGCGATCTTAGAGATCTGATAAGTGCCAAGGTCATGACTACTCTGTGCCAGCCTGGAGAACCTGTTGGATTGTTAGCGGCTCAGTCCATTGGTGAACCATCGACTCAGATGACACTGAATACCTTCCACTTTGCTGGTCGTGGTGAAATGAACGTCACTCTCGGTATTCCCAGGTTGAGAGAAATCTTAATGATGGCTTCAAAAAGTATCAAGACACCAAGTATGGAAATACCTTTCAAGAGTGATTTGGTCAAGCTTGAAAAGCAATCCACAAAGGTAAGAATTATCAATTGACCAACAGTTTTTTCAATCTTTTTTTTTCAATTGAATCCTTTTACTAATACGTATTAACTGAACTTTTAGCTAAAATTAAAATTAACCAAGTGTTGTATAGCTGATGTGCTAAAGGAAATTAAGATTGACAGAAAGCTTCACCTCGTTCCCCAGCGACGAATGATGTATTCCCTCACGTTTGACTTTTTACCGCACAAATCTTACAAAAAAGAATTCAATGTACATCCCAAAGATACCATTGAAGGTGTTAAGAATAAGTTTCTCAAAGCGTTTTTCCAAAAGATCAAGGAAGCCAGTACTTACTGTAGCGCGACCATAATGTGGACAGACGAAAAGGAACCGAAAAATTTAGATGAAAAACTCGATAACGAAGAAGAGCCAAATCTGGATGAGTCGATGGCGAAACTCAAGGGTCGCATTGATTTAGGTGAGACGCACGAGTCGTCGGACGAAGAAGAGCTAGGCGAAGACGCGGACGCGACTCAAGCTCGAAGGGTGAAACAACATCGAGAAAACCAAGAATACGACGATCCCGAAGACGAGGAAATAGTGCCCGAAGAGGAAGAGGGAGAAAACGACGAGGAGGAGAAAAAATACAAGGGAAAGGAAATTACGAATACGGAGACGAGCGCGAATGTTAATACAGAAGAAGAATCCGTCGCTCCATCAATGGAGGCAATCGTGGAAGAACTGAGTGATGAAAAGAGACATGTATTGGAAAAATTCAGGTTCGTAACGGACTTTGAGTACGATGAGGAAAAGTACAGGTGGTGCAAGGTCACGTTTTATCTACCTATTGCCCTTTCGAGACTCGATATGCCCTCGATCGTCCGCGAGGTCGCGAACAAGGTCGTTCTATGGGAAATCCAGGGCGTGAAGAGAGCCATCACGTACCAAAATCAAAAGGGGAGCACAATTTTGAAAACTGAAGGCATCAATATTATTGAGATGTTCAAGTACGCTGAAATTTTGGACCTGAACAGGCTTTACTCAAACGACGTTTATGCTATTTCGCAAACATACGGCATCGAGGCGGCTAACAGAGTCATCGTCAAGGAAGTCAAGGATGTGTTTGGAGCGTACGGTATCCACGTGAATCCGAGGCATTTGTTGTTGGTTGCCGATTACATGACCACGAGTGGTGTCTTTTCGCCTTTGAGCCGTAAAGGTATCGAAAGCTCGGGATCGCCGTTGCATCAGATGAGCTTCGAGAGTTCAATGACATTCCTAAAAATGGCCTCTCTTCAAGGTACTATTTTATAGTTGTTTATTTAGAATAAAAAAACCATTTAAATCTACAAAAAAAAAATTGTCTTATTTTTGCTTTTAGGTAAATTTGACAATTTAACGTCGCCGTCCAGCCGACTCATGTTGGGTCTGCCAGTTACGGCTGGTACCGGATGTTTCGAGGTGATGCTCGATATCAACAAACAAATAGAATTGAATAAATACTCTCAACCATTATCTTTCACGTTGTAAGATTTTTGGTATAAAAAGTAATTTTATATGTAAATACCGTTATGGTTATTGTAAATAATAGCGAATAAAAAGTTTGAAGTAATATTATGCCTCCTGAATTTTAAGTATACTCAATTTCCAAAAAACGGCAAACTTTTAGCGATTTTCACAATTATAAAGATTGCGTTCTCGTTGATGTAAATAATAAAGATATACGGTTGAATTTATTATTTTTCATTATTGCTTTGTAAGAAAAAAAAATAGATTTAATTTAAGGAACTTCTTTTGAGAAAGAAACTTCGCGCCCACGCCGAGACATCTTTTCTTTTATGTCCCTCCCACGGAATGACGGAATAAATGGTGAACAGTTTGCATTGAACTATAATTTGGTCGGTTTGGTTATGTTTACGATTACATATCGATTTGAAAAAAAAATGTGCAGGTTCCGAAGTTGTGCAAAAAATTTAAACTTTCACTGAAACGTCTGTTGCAGCCCACATGAGGTAACTCAATATCTACTCAACTTGTTGATTGTAAATCGAGCGAGTCGCTAACTTTTATCCTCTCTGTTTCCGCGGTTGCCACCTGTGCAACATCTTTTCTCACGATTGACGAATTTTCTTTTTTTATCGCTAACGCAGGTGATATTAAGTATTTTTATACTTTTAAGTGGTGAAACATGGCATTGGTGAAAGCAGAACCAGATTCTGACAGTGGGGCAGCTGTAGAGACAGGCCCAGACGAGTTGAACGTGATGGAGATGACAACAACAACAACAGTAAAGGATGAGACAAATTTTGACAAAGAAATCAACTCGCCCATCCCGAGTACGAGCAAAGCAGCTGAGAGCAAAACAACGGTAGATTCCAAAAATCAGGGTGCACGTATTGCAAGAGGGACAAAGAGGATGAGGGATGCCGACTCCAGTCAGAAAGGTATCTTGTGGATTTATCAAACTCCAATGGGTTTTCTATAATTTTATATTATTATTTTAGATGCTAAGGACGATCAAGAGGCTGATGCCAAAATAACGAGATCTTTGAAAAGGTCATGTGAGTTGTGGTCCATGGAGGATAAGAATACCTTTTTCAAAGCATTGAACGAATTTGGCAAAGACTTTGATGCTCTGCAAAGTTACTTTCTCATTCAGGGAAAGAAGCAAGGCTTGTCTGATAAAATGATCAAGAACAAAGAGCAGATCAGGCATTTTTACTACAGAACTTGGCTTAAAATTTCAAAGCATCTCAAGTTTTCAGAAGGTAGATTATTTTTTTCGTGTAATGCTTTTGGTAACTTGAGAGACATCGATAGTAAGTCTCATTTTCCAGACGTTAAAAAGACTTCACAGGAGCTCTATGGTTTGGTCAATTATGGAGAACTGAGAAGAAAACTGCCAAGAATTCACGAAAAAGTTCAGATGAAATTAAACGAGTTGATTTACTTTGGTTCCACACAAGTGCGTTATCGGAAAAAAATTTTCAGGGTCAAGACACCGATTTGTAGAGCCCTGAGGAAACTAAATCTATTCGAGGGTAACTTACTAATTTGAAAAATACGTTGTCTGGTAGAACGAAACTTTTTACCAAAATGAGATATTTTTACGGATGATTGTAGGTTATCAGGAAGATATAAAATTACCATCAAGAGTGACGTTAGAGTTACGGCCAGCAAACAACGAAGCTTGGTGGCATGTACAAGCATTGTCGATGAATCCAAGAGTCCGTACGTTAGTTCCTATTCAAAGGAGACTCTCCAGTATACTTTCATACTTTCAGCAGCGTTGGAGGTCTTGGAGTCTAAAGATTGTACGTTTTCAAAGTTTAGTTATACCCTGAAAATTTCTTCGAATTAATATTAATTTGCCATATAGTCAGCAGCTAACGCCGAAATTGAGAATCTCACTGAGAACTCGGATAATAAAAATTCTAGGGTCATGCGCATGACTCCTCAAGAAAATTGTAAAATCACGTTACCCACTATTAATCTAGGAGAGTATTTGACGAGCGACAGCATCTGCTTGAATTCATACGAGAATCGACTTGGGTTGAAAAGCTCGAGAGTTGAGCTTTTGGGTTCAATGCAGTACTTGAAGGGCGCGGGAAAGAAAAATGTAAAAAAGTTCAAGGGAGATAAAAGACTGAGCACCCGATTCGACGACGTCCCCGACAATAGCGATATCGATGTTTCCGAAACGAACGTCACTTCTACGACAGAAAAACCATCCACCTCAAGTGCCGGTGAAAAATCGGCGTCAGAACAGCCGTCGATCTGTAGCAGGTTCCCTGGTAGGGAAACGATTGACAGGATACGACGTGGTTGGAATGCTGATGAAGCAAGTACAATCACTGTTGGCGACTTGTATTTAATGGTAAGTTTATAAAAACAATCACTCATAATTTACATAAACTAAAAGCGTTTTATTACAGTTTGGTCGAGATTCGAAAATAATATTAGAGTACTCGTGGGAATCTGCAGTGCCAGAAACGTCTGTGATCGAAGAACCACAAAATAATGCTCTGAGCTTAACTTTGCAAAAATTATTGTCAATAGCTAAGCACACGTACGGAACCAGCAAAGTAAGCGATTGCGTCATCTTCTTTTTTGGACATTTGATGAAATTAAATTACGTTTTGTCTCTCGTTTTACAGGGATCATATGATAATGTGTCTGGCAGTAGTGAAACTGTCATTTCATCTAGAGTACCTTCAACTAAAGAGTCGACTTTCATAAGACCTCTGATACCTCCGTCATTTCACAGAATAAGCGCTCCTGAAACCTTTAGAACACAATTAGACGTAAGCATGAATCGAAACTTGGACGTCAATGCGATACTTTTTCTCTTCGACATAATGAATAATCAATGTATTTGCACCACAGAAATACAAATCTCGCTACTGCAGAAAAGGGAGAACATTGAGGCAAAGAAACTTGGTTGTGCAAAGGGTGCTCCCTACAACACCGAATGTCTCTTATAAAACGACAATAACGTATCCTGAAGTTCGAAACGTTTCCGTTGGCACAAAGACTGCTACGATTTCTCCAAAGATTGAAGAAGCCGTTCCCCAAATTACCGTAACGATTGAGCCTGTACCAGTTGATGCGCCAAAACATTTCTTGGATGTTTTGGATGGACAAGTCGTAGAACCTGTTAAAGTTACGCACTCGACTGCAAGTATTACGAGCGCAATGCAAATACTTAAAGAAGGAGAACAGCAGTGGCTCAACAGCGAGGTAGTTACTTTGTTTGTTTTTTTCTAACTGGGTTAAATAAATAAACGCGAGTCAGAAAAACTCAACCGTTTGCTTTTTGATATCAGGTTGCAGATTTCTCACTAAGTAGTTTCTTGGGTCAGCTTGAATCCCCGGTAAAAAGTTCACAGCGAAGTCAAGCAGAAGTTCCTATGATCGAAATCATCAGACCTTCATCAGACGTACGCATACCTTTTGCCATTCTTTAAAAAATTTCAATAACTTTATCACATCGAATTTCGTTACAGGTCGCAAACATGCATTGTCTAATGGGCGAGAATAGTGTCGATTACATTGCGAAATTCGCAAATTTTACCTCTCAGATAACTTCCTCGGAAGAGCAAAAACAGTAAGACAGTATTGATATACGTCTCTTCCTTTTAAACCCAAACCGTGTGAATACTGTATATTTAATAAGCGAAATCAAATCATGAAAAATGAATATAAGAGTATTACGGTGACAAAGATGATATTATATCAGAGTTTAATATAAATGACTGTATATAAGGTGTGAAACGAAAAAAAAAGTAGTATTGTTTTGTAAAAACTTTTCATTTGCATTTTTTTTTCCATTCCTTCAACAGTGACAAATGCACGTCCTAACTCAAGTGAGCTAAAGTCACATGCTTATTATCATTACCGTTAAAAATAACTGATAAAATGCAATTGGTCGGCTAGAAACAAATATTTAAATGAAACTGAAAAACGACGCAAACTTCAACAGGTCGCGTGTGTGCAAGATATATCGACGGCCATTGCAGCGGTGCAATCAATCAAGAGATGAGAGGCCGATAAATACACCTGCGCATACACGCGCAAATGTATACTTGAGCACATTACAGTCTGCAATAAAGAAAAATTTTAAAAAACGTGGGGAATAACATCTGGTTGCCTTGTATAATATTACAGTAAGAGTCGTGTGTGACGCCGCGAGACACATGAATAATACATTCCAAATGATTCATGTAAAAAAAAAAAAAAGGAACGGGGCAGCCCCGCAAAAGGTGGGGCGCTTCACGTGATACCCCGGACCGTCCAATAGCGAGTTATCATCGTCGAGTTTTTTTTTCCTCGTTCGGACGCGCGGGGCCCCCGAAGGTCTTGTAAACACACGTAACGTATCCATACGTGCTTGTGGGCAAACTCGTTTTTTTGCGTAGAAAAACCACCTCTACTAGAACACGACGTCACATCGTTTTCACTGAAGTTCAGGCGTGCTATCCGATGCACGTGTTACTGTGGTTTTTTTTTCTTCTTCTGCTAATCGTTAAACGAGAAGAGTGGAAAAAAAAAAAATATATATAAGAGACGGATTTTCCGGATAATTTCTCAAACCACTACCCGCGAGATGATTGTCCAGCTCCTCCCCGATATTTTTTATTTTATTTCATGCTTCAACAAACGGATAATGATACGGTTGAAGTAAGACATCGCGAGCTATTTGCAATAACATTTGGAAAAAAAAAGTACAGCGTTTTAAGCTTAATACAATCATGTGTATCGTTTTATGAAGGTTTATAAATTAAAATGCGAATCGCTTGTTTTTCGGGTCGGATTTATTGACATGTGTGTACTTACCTATCTTGAAAAAGCACACAAGTCGCGCTCGAGACGTCATTATAAATCAGCTGTGCTCAATTTAAAAGCGACGATGTTGCATTGTGTACTCTTATCTCGCATACTTTGTCGACAAATCATGTAGACAGAAAAAAAAAAAAAAAACCTCCAACTTTCAATGGAAAGAAAAGAGCATCGAATCAGGTAACATAATTAAAGTGCGGTCTTTCTAAACCCCAAGTACAAGTCCGACGATTACACAAGTATTATCTCGACCAATCGACATGGATTCGAAAAAGCGATGACCTCTTTTATTACGAATTGTTACGAATGTTTTGGGGATAATCGGCGGATGATTGTGTGTACACGTGAAAAGTCAATTTCTAAAACAAAGTCATCTCGGTTGTTCTTTACATGTATATATTCCTGATCTACTTGAGCACACTGATTAGCAACAGCGTCAATTCGTCGTAGTGCTGAATCTCTGACGTAAGGGTTGCTGATACCATTTGTGTATAAAGTTTAGCACGTGAGCGCTTTTTTTTTTTTTTTTTTTTTTTTTTTTTTTTTTCTTCGTTACGAGTAATAATTAAAAAACGTTTTTCTTGGCAATTGGGTATTGAAAAACCATCCGTGCCCAAGCACGCGTACATTGTAAAATCGTTGATATTGTCAAATGACAGCTGATTCGATGATTCTTTATNCTTTTATTTTATTTTTTTCGTCGTTTAAACGAGAAAATAGTACAAATTTTTCGTTGAAGAAAATACAAAATTCGTCAACTCGTCTCTGAATGGGTAATAACCCGCGTGCGAGTGCCGGTTAATGAGTTATGCGGTAACGAAAAGCGCAAAAAAAATACCGCAACACTCGATAGACACGCATTACGTATTGTTCTTGTTGGCGATGCTGAATCGATTAGAGATGTATATCCGTACGTGTTTGAAAAAAAGAAGAAAAAAAAAAATGTAATCCCAGAGCTCGAGTACGAGTGGTTACTGTTGTAATTTTCTCTGTCGAGGTCGTACACATATAAACGTATATATACGATCGTATACATCATCGCACCATCCTTGACTGTGTATGATGCATTGAAAAAAAAAAAAAAAAAAAAAAAAAAAAAAAAAAAAAAAAAAAACTAGTGTTTTTTCAAAAGCTAATGACTGGGTGTACGCGTGCATCTATTTTATTTCGATCGAACAAAAAGGTGATGCTGAACCAAGACTACTTCAAAAACTTCGAGGATAATGAGGACCATCTGCTGCTCGACATGGACTCTTTGGTCCAGAGAAAAGACGAGGATCTCATGTCCAGGATCTACGATCCGTCGATGAAAAAATGCTCGCTCGGTGAGTGCGCATACCCGATAATAGCCAACATGTATACACGTTGTGATCGTACGAGGAAAAATCGTTCGACGAAAAATCGGCCGACACGTGCAGTCGTAGCACCGAGTTTTCCTCGTTGGTGTTATTTAATTGTTGCTACATGTATACATAGACACGAAAAGATGTACACTCTATCGACGCGAGTAAATTGTAATGGCAATTTTTTTTTTTTTTTTTTCTTTTTTCTTCTTTAATTACACTCGCGATCGAGGAAATAATCCCAAGAGCAGAGGAGATCTGGTACATCCTTACAATGATAATGACGGATATACGCATCGCGAGAGACTGTTGTTGCTGTTGCATAGCGTGATTATAATTTTACGCGCGCGTGTCTCTTATTTCTTTGTTTTGAGGATTATTTACAATTTTTTTTTTTTTTTTCAGCTGTTCTTGACAAAAAGTTTTTCTCCCGTCAAAACTTTACTTCAAATTATGTAAAAAATATACTTTTGTTATTACAAAACTGTGACTGGTACAAAATAAAAAAAATTTACAAACTATGTCAAAGCAATAATTTCAACCAAAGTTATTCAATAAGCCTTTCAAGGTCAGATTTTTCAATTTCATGCCATGTAAAAAATTAACGATCCAAAGTCTCTCGCAATAAAACCTGAAAACAATCCAAGATGTCCGCTGTCGATAATAAATGATTGAACTCAATTTTAACCTTAATCACGATTTTTTTTTTTTTTTTTTTTTTTTTAATGCATGTCTCTGTCAGATTGTGTCAATAATTTCGTACAGCTTATTACATTTTTCTGCAAGTTGCAGCCATTTTGAAACGCTACTCGTTTGTGAGACACGATGGAAATTATTACGTAAAATTATTACAAAAACTAATAACTTAGAGTTTTCCCAAGTATATTCCATAAGAAAAAACTCGAACCGATTTATTTTTTATTGTTAATTATCGACTCTGTTGCGTGTTTTTTTTTTTTTTTTTTTTTTTTTTTTCTTAATCGTAAATTATGTATTTTTTTTACATCGAAATTAAAATAACATTTACGAAAGTAATTGACAATGGACGGTACTTGATTTCTTCAAGCTTCTCAATGCTTTTGGATCCATTCGAATTTTCTTATAAACTACATAAAATTACCAAGTTTATTACGCGACTTGTGAGAAAATTAAAATGTGCTCTATTTTTAATAATGTCATTGATTTAATTGTTGACTTTACTAGGGAAATTTCTTCGCGCGCACAAAAAGTGTTTTGTATGATAATATATTTCTCTTAAAGTTTTGTTGTTGTGTGACTCGATTCTTTTAATGTAATTATTTACTGAACAAAATTTTGTTTCTTGCCTTTCGTTTTAATTTTAAAAACGAGTGTTTCGCAATACACAAAATTAATTTTTTTTTTTTCCACTCGTAAGAGGAAAAATTCAGTGCGCAAGCGTTGCGTAAGTATATACTTAAGTATAATAAAAAAAGCCGCAAGTGCATATACTTATTTCGAAAAAACGATAATTCTTCGACCGTTTGAGCGGAGCGACATAATGCGATTGATAAATTCACTTTTTAATCATATTTGTCATTTTCATTTATTGCAAGTCATTATTTTTATTAATCAACAATTTCATTTTTTTTTTTTTATTCTCATTGTTACAACACGATTAATTGGTTTTTCATTACATAAGCTGCGAGCAATATTAACACGCGCGCACAAATTACCATCTGCATTCGTAAATAGAAAATCATCAGTAAACAGTTTCTACGAAATTATAAGAAGAGTGAATTAAACATTTTATCAGCAAAATGAAGTTATCGGCACTCCGACAAAAGGGCGTAATTTCCCATTAGATTCATGATTAATTTCTCAGTGACTAATGATGTGGGATTGCGAGTAGTAGTACAGGTCTGATGTTTCATTTTTTTTTCTTTTCGTTATGTTAAAAGAAAATATATCAGATTTTTAATTATCCATCATGTTAAAGATACAAGTGTGACCAGCCGTGAAATTTTGAAAAAGTACATGTGAGAATGGATGGATGTATCGCAAAAGTAAATTTTACGTGCGATAAGGTCGATAAGATTAAGAGGAGTGCAACAAAGGAGGGTTCTCTTCATGACATCAACATTTTTTCAATCCCATAGTCGTAACTCTTGAGACGCTGATTAACAAAAAACAAAAAAAAGTATTTGAGATGGTAAAAAAAGTTTCAATAACCCAGAGCACCTAAATTAAACTATTTATTTATATTAAAAGGTATGGTTTTGTTTGAAAATTAAATTTGCTCAATGTTACATGTAACAGTGATTGTGGGCTCTCGTAATCAAGTTGTACAGTTGTCGCGAACTTCTTGTCGCATGTATGGTGCTACACATTGGATTTTAATCACGGGGCTCTTGCGATTTGAATAAATTTGATAATCGAGTGGGATAAAAAAATGTGCTGGATCATCACAAAACTCTTAGGTTCCATATTTCGCAGTTTATTGACAAAACCGTGTATGCTATACGTAGTAAGCTGTTATAATTGTTTTAAAAATTATCCTCTTTTTGAGCGATGTATTTGGTATGAAAAAAAAAAAAAAATCATACATATATATTAACCAAATAAACTTTACAAATCGAGTAATTATTCCGTTAAGTGGCTGAAACAGAAATGATGAACCAAACCTTTATCTTTTGAGGAAAAAGCGGTAAAAAAATACAACGAGTAATTTAAATAATTTCTTAAGATTCATTTATAATTTTTTTTTTTTTTTTATGATAAGACGCTCACATATAAATAATACAAATGGCATTTTAACGTTTGTGCGACTCTAACTTAGATTTTATTGGACGTTTATTGCATCCCGTAATCCTTAAAAAAAAATGATTCGTTGAAAATCATGTAATTTTGTGTTTTGGCAGTTATTGCACACACCAATAACAATAACATAATAAAAAAAGCACGTACCCCTGGAAATGTACCAGTAAAAAATAAATCATCGCGAACTTTCCAAGCTTTTTTTTTTGTGTCCGAATGTCGAGTATAAAAAAATACAACACAAAAAGTGTAAATAAACAAGCAAATAAAAAACAGCACTACAATGCAATACTGTCATCATACAAATACATGAAGACTTTAGTCACGCAGAGTATATTTGTAACCCAATGAACAACAAACAAACGACAGATAGTAGCAAATAACATTTTTTTTTTCAAACAACTCGAGTCAACCGCAACTCCGCGACTCCAAAGTACATACATAAAATATTAACCACCGGATGTATATACCATCACCGTGGACGCGAGGCCCTACGTTTATAATCCACGTGGTGACGCTATACACACGCAGCATCCCTGTATCAGAATCAGAGATAAAAACTCAGTTTGCATATCGAGTGACCACAACAGTAGTCTTGCTCGATCTTTTTCGGTAAGTATAAGTGTATACGCTGTTGCAACCGCGAGTCGGAGCTTCCCCGCCCCCCCACTATACCTAGCGCCGCGTAAAACACAGATAGAGACCACACACGAAACGGGAGGGAGAGAGTTGAATCGCGCGGGCCTCACACCGATTGGTCGGGCTGCTCGACACGGGAAATCCCAGCATCGCGTTTTTTTTTTCTTTTCGTGCACACACTCGCTCGTGTGTATCTATATACATATATAGCTCGTCGTTGGCTCAGTGGTTAGCACGCTAGCCACCGAAACAACACAGCTCAAGGGGTCGTGGGTTCGATTCCCGGTCGGGGGTACTCTAATTTTTTCTGATGGTTCTTGCCGGGTATCGAATTCATGAAACCGACTTAGGATAAAGATTTAGTTTTTCGGTCCTGCGTGACCGGGGAGATAAAAAAGATATGATATGCGAATAATAAAGAACGAAAATGTAATGACAAGCTAAAATAAGAGAAATGTATAATGATATACGATGAAAACGACATGGTAAAAGACAATGTAAATGTTGAATGAATAAAGACAGTGTACATACCCATAGTAGGTCAGTACACTATAATATTAAAAAAAAAAAAAAAAAAAATCTATACATATATATGCGTGTCACATAATGATATACAGGTATTGTGTACGAACGTATAAGGCTCCGTGTCCACTTGATATGATAATCGATGTTTTTGGAGAACAGCCGTGATCGAGGTGAAAAAATGGTAAACTCCGCTATCGCTATTCTTGTATCTCGCGAGTAAGCGTATACAGTATATATCTGAGCTGTATTTTGTCCCTCGTATAATTTAGACACACGATTGTAGCATTACATTCTTGTCACCGAAGCAGAATCGATTGGGTTGATTGTACTCGAGATAATCAAGGTGCTTTTTTTTTTTTTTTTTCTTTACAGAGTACATACAAGTACACATAGTAATAGCTGAAGTGTTTGTATAAGTAGCTCAGCTGGAAAGTGGACGAACAAAAAAAAAGGAGAAATAAATGATTTTTACTAAATTCAATTCGAGATAAACGCGATCGTGGTGACGTTTGCTCGAGCTTTACAAATACGTGAGTCATGACGGCAATGATTATCGAATGCACACACACACACACACACACCTAATACACTGCGCGGCTGCTGCATCTCTCACGAGCGAGAATTTTCAGGGACACGTTGATTAATTAAAAAAATAAGCCTGATGTGCTTAGTGGCTATCGTAGTGGCTGTACGTGGATGGAGTTTTTGCGACGGTACTTTTAATTTACACCTGCCTCGGAATATTAAAAGCCAATAATGTATCATTTATCTCTGACTCTTCTGTAGAGTGGATTTTTTTATACAAAAATATGAAATTCATCGAGCAACAATTCTATACATTACTTGTGCTAAAAATATTTACAAGTTCAAAGTTAGTTCAAATTATTCAGGATCGAGTATTTGAATACTCTTTTTTTTTTTTTTTTTTTTTTTTTTTTTTTTTTTTTTTTTTTTTTTTTTTTTTTTTT